TGTTCCTCAAAGGACTTATTCCACAACAATTTTTAAAAGAAACTGTGCTTTCTTCTGTGTTGAGATTTCTAATTGTCCTGCTGTTTCAAAATCGAGAAATGCATTAAAAAGCAAAGTTGAGAATTGAAGTAATGCCTATAGCAGTAAGGCTTAGAAATTTGTGAGGAGCTTTCTGACATTGGCACTTCAGCTCAAAAGCAAAGCTGAAACTGGTTTTGACAAAATAGTCCTAAACAAACTGAAAATGTGCACAGCTAAAGACCTTGAACATAAACTCTTTTCAACATACAAAGAAAGAAGACACAAACCTGCTATCAAAAACGTATTTTCCTAACCTTTACACAGGTACCCCACTCCAGACAGCCTCCAATGGGCAGAGTGGTGTCAGCCTGAAAATCTCTGCTCCTTTTCCCAACCCCTGAATCCAAAAGGGGAGGGTAAGGCAGCTTCTATTCACAATACACCTTTTGAAGATGATTTCCCATATCTTTAACCACCTAAACAAGATGAAGCAGCGAGAAGGGGGAGCCAAAACCAGCAATTTGCTCCAAATGCCAACTTCCACTTAAAGGTTGCTTAAAGAAAAATACAGAAGGAACATGAGCTTCTGACTACAGAAAGAATAATCTTTCATAGAATCTTTCTGAAGGGCACGTCTAAAACACTGCACTTTAAAAAAGCTCAAAATCCAGAAAGAAAAAAWTTTAAAATGGCATGAGAGGGTATTCCTCATCCCTTGAGCCAGGAAGGGTTACTCAACACCTCACCTGGCCTATCAAAAGCCCTTAATTCCCTAAAACACTAAGGGCCACCCTCCTCAGAAGACCCTCTGCTCCTTGTTGTGTTAAATTTATTTGTGCTACATCAAATGGATCAATGCATTCGCAGTTTTCCCTGTTCTTCACATCTTAAACCACTCTCTGTGTAAAGGCAAGTAGCAAAGACAACTCTTAAGCAATTCCCCTCAAGTTCCAGCTTAAAGATTTAGTTATAAAACTTCCTAGGACCTCAGCATTTGGATCATTGACACTTTTTATTTTCATTTTTCTTGTTAGCTTTAAAAAATACTTTCCACCTATAGATGCTGTAAGTTAGCTCTTGGTGACRTTCTTTTGGGATAGAGTTTTTATAAATTCAGTGAAATTTTATGGCAAGAATGCAAGCCAACAAACARGAGCTAGTTATTTGTATCATACTGTGATTCATATTTGATTTGCCTAGAGCATGGAGCTACATCAGAAATCAATCTCAGATTATTTTTTTGGTAAGAGGAGCTGTTACACACTCTTAATTACGTGTGGTAGGTGGTGARTTTAGTGCCTGAGCAGTTGCTGTACTATTCTGTGGCATTCTTTGTGCTGTCTTTATGTGCCACATTAGTCTCTTCTTGTGGGAATTAAATGCCAGGCTGTAAATCACTCTTGAATGACAGCTGAAAAGCAAGCATGCTTTCAGGTTTAATGTGCTTTCAGAAATGAGCAACCCTACAAAATTACCTAATTTGGCAGGTTTGTTTTCTTTTTGACAGATTTTTAGAAGAGCCATTTTATGAACTGGTTTGTAATMATGAGCAACAATAAAATCTAAACACTACAAAAACATAAACTTGGGATTGGAGCAAACTAGCATAGTTCTGTTGAAATATTCATGGTGCTAGCCTGACTTGGGTAAACCAAATATCTGACCTCAGATGGGCTTGGAATTTGAGAGAAATGTGTCACATTTTAAGGCTACTACTTTTCTTTTTTTTCTACTGTAATAAAATAAAATATATACGACTGTGCAAATATCTCTAAAAGGAAAAGGATTGCTCATTATGATCTTACTATCTGTATTCCTTCAAAATATGAAACACTTTACTTTTTACAGTGTTTTCCTGTGTGGGATTTTAAATACCAAGCATAAACAACAGGGAAAGAAGCATCTACAACGTTTTTCTGGAGGGCAGTCCAGTGAAGGAGACTCTCAAGCAGTTTGTTGCTGACTCTGTTAAAGGGACAAGACTGCAGCCACCTGTTACTGTCCTCCTCAAAACCTGTTGGGAAACCTTTTACTTCAGGTACATCTTCTACACAAGGATCTTGATTTAATTTTAAGCTAAAATAACAGAACTTTATATTCAACTTTTGGAATTGCCTTGCTAAAGTATCTGACAGAGGAAAGAGTGATGTCAAGGCAGATAATAGAGGAGACCTTTTTAGCCTTGTTCTTTCCTTGAAGAGGTTGAGAGAACCATATTTCATACTTGGGACTGTGGTATATTTAGACGCACCTAGTGAGTTCATATTGAAGGAGTTTGCATACAACTGCAAAGAAAAGGTCATTTTTCATAGTGTTACACACTGTCAAATGCAGCACTCAGCTTTCTATATGCCCTGACTTTTTCATGTAGTTGGGAAAACAAACACAAACACATCCAAAGGTGGGCTGGAATTGTGCTGGGCACGTACTGGCTGCTTCTGGCTGTCAGAAGAATAAAGACTGGAAAGCGTAAAAACACATGTCAGCAGAACAGAGGTAAAAAAAAAACCAAAACCACACAACAAAGCTAAATGCATGCCATTACCTAGGAGAAATGGAATGTGATACCTTGGAAAAGCACCAAGAGGTATTTTTAGCCCTGAGAGCTATTAGTTCAATCAGAGAGCCCAGATCAAGTTGTGCTGTCACAGATTTGTGTCGGAGGTACCTGCATGCTGACCTAAAGCTGAGGGCACTCAAATGGAAATCAAGCAGGAAATTACAATCTCTTGCTTTGAGAGAGGTTTTCAACTCAGCTGATCTTCCTCTGAAGAGGGCAGCCAAAAAGCAGCCCAGCTCTCCTTCTGCAGGAWTCCAGCAGCAGCTGAAGCAAAGGCAGCCTCTTCTGCCAAGCACTAAATCCAGGAGAAGGTGCAAGAGAAACAGGCACAGCTACTGCACGGGGCTCATGGGGCACAGGAACCTGTCCTGTCTCCCTTTCTACCAACTTCAGCTATTTTGGCTCTTGGTTTCCATCAAACACATTCCCAGTTACAGCCTCCCAGTGCCCACATCACTGGGAGCTAATGAAAGGACAGTGAAGCCCACACATCACATAGGTGAAATATTCTTGTGAATGAACTAGCTCACAAATTTAAAAGAAAGCAACCAAAACCAAACAAAAAAAAAAAAAAAAAAAAAAAAAAAAAAAAAAAAAAAAAAAAAAAAAAAAAAAAAAAAAAAAGCAAAACCTGTTTCCATCTAATGTAGGTTTGATTCAGTCTTACTCCATTCCTGAGGATTTAGCTTCAAGCCAAGCTACACTTTGCTCCACAGTGTTTGAGTCTGGATGCTGCTTTTTTACACCCTCTCTAATGAAGAAGCAGGTGTGGGTTGCTACATTTCTCGCTGCCTTGCTTCACTGCACAAATCATCTGAGAACAGAAGCTCTTTGTGATACAAGGCTTTTAAACATTCTCAATAAAGGCAGCAGAATAACATTCCTCACTGTTCCTTASTTTCAGGAAACAGATAATTAGACAGATGGCAAAAAAATCGTACTTGGTGCATCATTCCTTTMATCTGCTAACAACATGAAGAAATCTTCCAGAAACTGGTAAAAACAATGATGAAAAATTCCCTACTTAATCCTCAACCTGATTCTGACCTGGATCTACCAACACTGGAATCTGAATGCTCAGAAAAATCTCAGGTTTGGACYTGTCAGTCTCACAGGTTGAGACTAAGGCCATTGGATGATATAAAATGCTGACAAATGCATTCAGAAAGCTGTGATTGTTGTAGATTCGTAAAGACAACTGTAACATAAATCAGTGACCCTGTCTCAAGAGTATTTTACTCTAAATAAGTAGAGATGTACCTGAAGTGACAGGTAAGACTCCCGACAAACATAATCTTCTGGACAATTCTACCTTTCAGGCTGCTTTTATTCTTTGGTCTTTGTTACTGGATGAAAAGACTGTCAGTGTTTCTTAAWCTGTGGTCCACTCATCCATGATGTTCCATGAGATATCAGATGCTTCTTTCCCCCCACTCCCACGATTTTCTCTGCAGGAGACAGCTCTTTGATTTATTTACTGCAACACACCCTTGGAAATTGTCTTGTTTAGACTCTCTGCATTTTTACACTTGTCCTCTGAGTGGGTGTTACTTGCATGGCACTACTCAAAGGCAGCTGTGACATTGATGGCACTAGGTGAGAATTATAACTCACTAAAGGGTAGTGCTCAGCTTCCCTGAATAAACATTTACTCGAGCAGAAACTGCTTTGATGGCTTTTAGCTTTCATATTTTCTACTCATGCTTTTTGTACGTAACGTATTTCCAAACAAAGAATTACCACCAAAAAAGATTGTGCACAGTTAAAGGCTAAAGGTTCTGCTCAGGTGCAGAAGAGAAGGAATTATTTGCTGGTCTATCAGGAGAAGAAAGCTATCACACCCTTGAAACGGCATTCCAGTTTTCATTTCCTCCCTGTGCCTCGTTCAAAGTAGCTATTCCATTTTGGCAGGAAATTAGGAGCAAAAGCTTCCTGCAAAGATAAACTTCACAACTCAATTTGTAGAAACTAAGCCTTCTGTGGGTCAAACATCACCCTTTGGAAAACCTGTCTGAATGCTCCAGGGTGAGAAGATGGGTGCTGGGGGGCTCCTGTGCACTGCCAGCCACTCTCTCACTGCTCCTCACACATCTGACTCCTCTGTCCCGTGGGGTTTGTGTCTTCCAGGGGGACTATCAATGCCACCAGCAGGCTAAGCCCCACCCGGGCACAGGGGTGTAGCCTCTGTGGATGCCAGTGGGAYTGCACCCACATGTACCACAGCAGGACTTTCCACACTGCATCTGAAACCAGTTTGGGCTGCCACCAGCAGGATGTCATCTCCTGCCACAGGTGACACAGGAGGAGACATTTTGCTTTTCAAGAAAGTGCCCAAATTAAATTGCATCTGCAGTGCTGGGAGGGTCCCCTGCTCTGCTAACCACTCAGCACCACATGCACCCAAGGAAAAAATGTTTACCTGGTATGGCCACGGTTAACCTTTTTTCCTTGCTGAGACGGTGCCCATGGATGAATTCACTCATGGAAGGGGGGCCCCTCAGAAGATATGATTCTGTGGAGGTGGGATGAGGGGGGGCTCTTAATAAATTCTGGAGGTAGGTCCCTGAAGTCCTGGGATGGCTCTGATCACAAAGGGAAGGTGAGAATAGTCTTGCAGGAGATCCAAGAAAAATACATATGGAAACAAAAGAGTTTTACTTTAATTACCTTTCAAAGCCTCACGAATGACAATATAATCTTAACTTGCTTAACAGACAAAAATCAACTACTGTTGACACCCCATATCATTTCCAGAGCAGGACACCTTGCCTGCACTGGAAATCCTCATTCACCTTAGGGAAGGAGGAGATGAGGCTGGGTTACAACTCAGCACCCTCAACATGTACAAGGCTCCCTGAATGSTCTCTTGGTTTTGCATTGTGATTAGAGCRCACAAGAAAAGGGGATGAYAATCCAGGACTTCTCTAACAGAGTSCTCTTCATCTTYAAAACCATGGAGATGCCCACACCTGCAGAGTWTTGGCAGGGGCAGCCACAAGACAAGAACTCACTGCTTGAACAGCAAAATATTTGCATTGAGTTACGCATTAAGTTACGAATCCCCCTTAAAAAGGTGTCTCCCAAGTAGAAAAATTGACCAGAGTGAACACATCCATATTCTTCTCACACTGATAAAGAACAAGTGAGCACCAGAGCTTAACAAAGAAATGCAGCTTCTTTCATGTTAAGCACTGAAATGCTCATAGACACAACCCAACCCTTTTTTTAATTTCAGATGCTCATTACGGAACGTCTTAAGGAAAACTTAAAGAAAACTTATTAAAGAAAATACATTCACACTTAATATTAAAGACATACAAGATGCACCGAGACACTGACAGAATATAGTTCAAAACACTGTATTCAGGAGAAGGAAATAACAGTGAGTAGGTGGATCAGAACCACATGTTGCCAGGCTTTGAATTTCAYACTCATATCCTCCCCACCTCCTTCTCCCCAGTCAAAGTACAGAAAKAAAAAATAAAAGTAAAAAAAAAAGAATCACTACATTTATAATTCACTGAATGAYTTTAATGCAAGTCTGGCTACTGCACTGTACTGTAAAGATCACTGCATGCATACCTTTTCCTCTGAGTGCCACTGCTGACCAGTAAGTTTGGTTGCTGTGGGCCCTGACTATGCAGGAGGAAAGTGTCTATGCTTGGCACGGTGGCTGATGCCTCCTCACTTACTTTAGGGCTGCCGATCTTGCTCTTTCCCAGCTTGCCTTTGCTGCGTCGGGATTGCTCRTGGTCGAACTCTAAATCCTCCAGCCGCTGGGTGAGGGCAAGTTTTTGCTGGATAGCCATGCGCAGCAGAGAGTTCAGGGTCTTCTTCTCATCCTCCGCAGCCGCCAGCTGCCTCTGCATCTCATCCAGCTGCGTGACGTACTCATCACACCTGGGGAGAAACAAGGCACAAATCTGGGCAAACGGCCCAAGAACCAACTCTACCAGTGAGCACATTCCCAGGCTCCAGTTACAGAGTGGGCCAGACTCAAATCCCAGCTTTTGCTGACCCTAATTCTGGAGGAGGGCAGCCTGAATTCTTCTGTTCCCACTTGGAATAAATTTGGACTTGGATCTCAATGTCAACACTTCMCATCCAGCAAGACAGCCCGTGCCAATATTAGCACAGCCTATGGCAATGTAACATGTTTCTGATGCAGAGAACAAGAAGTTGGAGGGGAAATATGGGACTATTTCCAGTTCAGACCACAAATAACSATTTTAAGTGCTTCTTCTACTACTATTATCATTATGGATAATAATGTCTACCAACTAGAAAATACTGTTTTCTACAGACAGTAATATCCACTTCAAGAAAGTATTTCAAAAGAATACTGCAAGTAGTTTGAACACCTGACACRTGAGATTTTGTGAAATGAGAAACCCTTAGTTATTTACCATTGTTAACCATTTTATACCATGATTACCATTATTTATAGTTGATTAAAAGGACACTACTCAAGAAGMCCCACACCTGGGAGTTATTTCACATTTACTGTTGAATCCTTGGAGGTGTGTTCAGGTGATCATTGCTGTGGTCATCTACTCCTTTTTTAATCCTCAGCCTCTTTTACCCACATGAAAAACTATCWTTTCATTTGCTTTAGTTTTCTGAGAACTAGAACCACCTTTCTTATGATTTTGCRAGATTTAAGACCAAATTCAATGTATTTCTGCTTTAAGTATAATTCCTAAAGTTAACAGGAAAAGCAAGGCATTTCAAAATTGTCTTAAAACACTTTTTCACATGAAATAGCTTCTGTTTGTTAGCAACAGACCATCTAATCACTAAGAACCATGAGCAATAAAAATAAATGTATCCTAGCAATGAGATGATTCACAGATAGCAGTACTGCCTGACCATCAGACATTTATGGTAACATCCAAGGATTTTTCATGTTGAATGATGCAGCTTTCACCAGATCTCCTTCGCATGAGATCTGGGTGAATCTAAGTAGCTTTGCTGTGTAATTGCAATTGTGTAATGGATAAGGATGTACATTTATCAGTATCACTTACAGAAAGCAAGCACAGAAAATTAWTTTTAGTCTTCTTTATCAAAATGTACGATGCAATAAGCCTTTGAATTATTGCAAACTGAGGGATGAAACTAATTTCTCTGAAACTTTAATCTTCCCCTAGGGAAACAGAACCAAAGTGTGCTTGTGTAGTTAGTTATTCTTCACACACAAACACTTTATATATATAGATAGTATTCTCCTTTTGAAATTTCTAAGTCAGATAAGCTTCATCTACAGTTTCAGTATTATCTTTCTCCTACAGGACCTTAATGRTTGTTGCTACCCCATACTTTTACTTGAGTAAAAGACATATTTATGACATGCCATTTGGCTTAAAGCCAACTTGCACACCTGTTTCTGCTCCAAGCCATAAGATGTCTATTGGTGCTTAAGCCAGATTCTTTGCCAGAGACATGAAATCAGCATTCTGAATATTATAGTAATTCCTATTTCAAATTAATTTGCTTCAATATCTGTGTTATCAGAGTTTTAAGGGCTCATTCTTGTAACCAGATGGGACTTGTATCCGTGTCTCTTGTTCTCTCCTGCTTTCCTCTTAGTCCAGGAGACCCTTTGTCTTGGGTTGATTTTATGGTAACACTCTATTCCTATATTCTGTCTGCTTGTTTGMCCAAAATGTCCCTGGGACAAATTTGGCGYCCAATGTGAGCCTTGAGAAAGTGAAGAGAAAAATTGTAATAACTGCATTATGGTTTTAAGTGCTTGGTATTGGGTACAGTTAGAAGTCACCATGCTSTTTGAAGTAATAATGTCATTTTGGTCTCTAGGCCTATTTACCTATCCACATATAGGGACAATTTAGTTCTTTGCATGGAGGTTTTATAGATCAGGGACACAAATTGGAGTTGCTATATTTATAGCTGTGGTAGTGATGATTTATAAAAGTTTAAGAGAGGTACTGGGAGCTTTTGAAAAYTGGTATGCTCTGTTGTTTCTCCATCCTAGTCTTAGTAACCTGTTTTAGGGTTTTATTAGTAAGTACAGCCAGCCTGCTACAGGAAAAGTAGGGGATGATGTTTCCCAGCCCTTCATCTCCTTCTTCCCCTTCAAATCTGGCACATCACCTTTTGAGGATGTCCAGTTTCCCCTAGATGTTAATGCTGCCACTTTCCTGGTGTTTCATCTGGTAAGTTTCCTCTACATGGTCTGCAGCATGTCTAGAATGAGGTCTGAGTTTTCCAGAGGGGCTACATAAACACCTCCCCCATGTGTGGAAAAGTCTGAGTGGTGTGGGATATGGGAGAATATAGGCCAAATACTGAAGCAATTTTCTGAACCAATAGCTTTTAACTTCCCACCTGAAAAAGTTCAGAACCCAGCTGAGGTGGGGAAATACCTGAAAGAGAAGTGCAATGAGAACTGTAAGGAAAAGAAGCTCATTGCAATATGCTGGGCCCTGGCTAATGCTTATCGCACACTGCTCAGTGCAGTAGGGCAGGAGACAGAGCCGGAGGGACCAGGGGACAAGTCAGCAGATACCTCAGTCACTCAGGCTGCAGCTAAACCAGACAATGAGCCTAAGCCAGCAGCAGTTGCCCCTGTCCAGAGAAGGAAACACAAAACCAAATCCATTCGCCCAGTGGATGATGATGGGCAGCCAGTAACCTCACAGCCAGCAGGAGAATCTGAACCAGAAGTTATTGTTGAGTATCTGACCCCAGAAAACATTCATGGCCTAAGGGCAGATTACAAATGACAGCCTAATGAATCGATATTGGGCTGGCTGGTCCGCGTCTGGGACACTGCAGGTGATAATATGATGCTGGATGGTGRTGAAGCGATGCAGTTGGGATCCCTGTCAGGTGATGCAGCTATTGACCAAGGGATGGCAAGGGGGTCTGAACCTCTCAGTCTCTGGGCCCGGCTCCTAAAAAGTGTGAGGGAAAGATACATGTGTGTAGAAGATCTCCAGATACATCAAACCTTGTGGAAGACCACAGAACAAGGGATTAAATGCTTGAGAGAACTGGCAGTGTTGGACATCATTTTCTCAAATCACCAAACAATCAGGAGTCCAGACATGGTAAAATGTACAGAGCTGATGTGGCTAAAACTYRTRCGACTTGGGCCACAAGAATATGCCTCYGCTTTAGCRATGATGAAATGCAAKGAAGGGGATGAGACTGTGCTTGCTGTGGCGAAGAAGCTCCAGGCATATGCAGATACTGTGCATGGYCCAACACMTGCAAGAATCTCAGCTGTGGAAACAWGCCTGTTAGAACACATGCAGRAAATAGAGAACAAGATGGAGGAGAATCATCAGCAACTCMRGRAAGAGGCTAAAGAGARCCTTCTCCAAATCGCATCAGTCCAGACCAGAGGCCCTGTCACCASGAGCRGAYATCCCCCAGCCAGAGAAAGAGGRTGCACTCCAGGAKCAAACCTTTGGTTCTTCCTKCTTGAGYATGGGGAAAACATGAGAAGGTGGGATGGAAAACCAACCTCTGCCCTGGCAGCACGGGWRCRTGAATTGAAGAATGGCAACACYAYGGGAGGAAGCTCYACCAGAAGAGAAGTAGCTCCGSTTTCCCATAACCAAGYKGCCCAGCATAAYGGAAGGYAGAATGACATGTCMAATCCCCTGGAAGGAACCTCTGCAATGTATGCCCAGGGAAGGRATGGCAGCCAGTGCTAGAGGGGCCCYGWYTCTRGCCAGRTAGAGGCARGRGAGAACYGTGCCTTTTGGACTGTGTGGATTCRTTGGCCTGGCACAGCAGAACCACGGGAATAYGAGGCTTTGGTYGACACTGGTGYGCAGTGCACACTCATWCCTTCRYGACATGTGGGGACAGAATCTGTTTCTATTGCTGGCGTGACAGGAGGATCGCAAGACCTGACTCTGGTGGAAGCTGAGGTGAGCCTGACTGGAAAGGAGTGGAGGAAACAYCCCATTGTKACTGGTCCAGAGGCCCCATGCATCCTGGRAATAGACTTTCKCYAAAGTGGGTATTTCAAAGACCCAAAGGGATTCAAGTGGGCCTTTGGAATAGCTGCTGTASAGACAGATGGYATCAAGCAATTARACACCTTGCYTGGGCTGTCYGAAAATCCTTCTGCAGTTGGGCTCCTCAAGGTGGAAGATCAGCRCGTTCCAGTYGCCACCTCGACAGTGCATCKCTGGCMGTACAGAACAAACYGAGATGCTGTGATTCCTATYCATAAGATTATCCGKGAGMTGGAGAGCCAAGGGGTGGTCAGCAARGTCCATTCACCCWTCAACAGCCCCATCTGGCCTGTGCGCAAATGTGAAGGGGAATGGAGATTGACTGTGGACTATCGTGSYKTRAATGAAGTGACCCCACCGCTGAGCRCTGCCGTGCCGGACATGCTGGAGCTCCAGTACGAGCTGGAGTCCAAAGCTGCGAAGTGGTAYGCCACCATTRACATCACCAAYGCSTTCTTCTCCATTCCTCTGGCAGCAGARTGCAGGCCTCAGTTTGCTTTCACCTGGAGGGGTGTGCAGTACACCTGGAACCGGCTGCCCCAGGGGTGGAAGCACAGCCCCACCATCTGCCATGGGTTGATCCAGGCCACACCGGAAAAGGGTGAGGCTCCGGAGCATCTGCAATATATTGATGACATCACTGTGTGAGGGAACACAGCAACAGAAGTATTTGAGTAAGGGGAGAAGATCATCCAGATTCTCCTGAAAGCCGGCTTTGCCATAAAAAGGAACAAAGGGAAGGGACCTACTCGAGAGATCCAGTTCCTTGGGGTAAAGTGGCAAAATGGACGGCGTCAGATCCCCACCGAGGTCATCAATAAGATCACGTCGATGTCTCCACCGACCAGCAAAAAGGAGACACAGGCTTTCCTGGGTGCCATTGGCTTTTGGTGGATGCACATCCCT